AGAAGGGACAGCCCCACACATTTTGAGCCAAGGCTATTCAGAACATGTACTTTGTTGTGCTATTTTACGCTATAAATATCAGTGCCTTCAGATTACTGTGCAAAATACATCAACTGTTGCATGCAAACACAGACAAAAAACACAGGTACTAAATGCAAACCCAGTTGTAGCTGTGAGCTTAATGTCAAGGCCCAAGAGCCTTGAGAATGGCTCCAAAGATCTGCGAGCAGCTTTTACCACAAACACAGATGACAAGCACCTCCTTGACTTAAACCATGGACCGCCCAGCTTCGCATTTAAAAAAACCTAAAATATCAGGGGGGTTGTTTTTCTGGGTGACCTTGAAGAACGTGGGTTTTGGCTGGGGTAGGAGAACACCATGGGACAGGGAGTAAGCCAGCTTCCACTTCTGTTTCATTTCACTGCGAGACAGTGTTTGGTTAGTTTGGATGAGAAACATCGGCTCTGTTTCCCATTAGGGCTGCGGGCTCTCCAGCGCATGGCGAGTGCCATCTGCAGGTGGAAATCTGCACTGGTTCCCGGCCCGAACGTGGAAAACACTGAACGACAGGAAATCTGAACTGCACGTCTGAGGAAAAAGCTCGGAAAGGCGGAAAGGCTACAGAAATGCCTGCTTCAGACCATCCCCAAAACCAGTCAGACCTGTGGCAGCAGAATGCCAGGGATTATCAGAGCAGCTTCCCAGGACATTTCCTAGCTCTGCAGCAGCACCAAGGCAGCAGTGCTCTCTGTGAGCAGAGGAGGATGCTGAGGCCACCTTAACCTGATTGCCAGGAATGCCAGAGGAGAGGAGGAGAATCATCTGTGACCCTCTCCTCATATACTGAGAACAGGAGGGGCACTTCCAACACGTGCAGTTCAAGCTAGATAGTACTGAAGAGTTGGGAGATTTTTCCAACTGGAAAGCACACTGTTTTCAGGACAAAAGCCTTGAAAAAGGAAGTTAGAGAAGCTAAAATCACAGATTCACAAGGTTGGAAGAGACTCCAAGATCATCGAGTCCAACCCAACCCTAACACCTGAACCAGACCATGGCACCGAGTGCCACATCCAGTCTTCTTTTAAACACATCCAGAGACAGTGACTCCAACACCTCCCCAGGGAGACAATTCCAATAGTTCAACACCCCTTCTGTTAATAACTTTGTATTTAAAACCATAACTGGCTGGACTACAGTTATTTGATTTGCAAAAAATAATTCCAGCCAAGCAGAGAGGCCATCATTGGAACACTGTAGCTACATCCAGAGTGACATTCCTCTGGTGATGCCTTGATAATGCCTGGCTACAAAATTTCAGTGCACGGCAGGCACTTTCACAGTGGCAGCCTTCAAACAGTACCAGCACTGGCTGAGAAACAGTTGCAGGTATATACAAGATAACAACCTCTCTCCCAGGAGCTCAGGCTTTTTAATCCAAATTCAAACATTTGCCATCTGTGCATTCCATGTAGTATAAATACAGTCAGAAAAATCGCCAGAGCTTTGTCTAAACAGTAGTTATGAGAGAAAGAGACCCCCAAATTATATTTCCTACTGCCCACAACACAGTGCTGTAAAATCACTGACATTTTCTGAGCACAGCTGTATGCAGGAATGTGATCTATTTGGGCCATGCCTGATTGACTCATTACATCCAGATTTATCAATCTGCAGTTTCTAATCAGACAGAGAGGGAGGATGTTCCACCTCTCAATCTAGTGCCATGGCAGGTCAGTCAATCAGAGCATTTCTCAGCACAGCACTGGCAGACACGAGACTCTGGTTTACATGCAGTAAGGCAAAACTGGGAATGTTTTGCCCTCTGTTAAAAATGTCAAGAAGACTCCTGAAAATTGCTTCTAGTCTGACCTTTGCAAATGCCCTCCTGAAACAGCAAGAGATAAGAACAAATGTATCAGACCTAAATAAAGTGGGGTTTTGAGAATAAATTTATACTGTATGGCAGGCTAAGCATTTTTTATCAGAGAACTGCCAATAGGAAATACTATTGCTTATATTATCAAACTCACCAGGTGTGTCAGGAGAACACTTTATATATTGGGTTATTTTAAGAAAAACAAAAAGAACTCTTTTTATTGCCATTAAAGCTAGTAATTTATATCCTGATGAGGGGAATGGGCAACCCAACAGTTTTTTTAGGATGATGGCAGATCTGCTTTATGACGTGGTTATATTGGGAAAAAGTCCTGCCAGTTATGCACCCTAGCCATGGCAAAGATGTTCGCTAGCTTGATAAAAAATAACAAATACTTAAACTTAGAGTTAATTTCCAAACAACTTTAAAGTGTTAAGCATCAAGAAGGGAGTTAGAAAGAATAAAAATTGATCATAATCTAAGTAGGAAGGAGATTTATTCCCCAAGTGTAAAATCAACCCCACTAGAAGCTTCTGCAAGAGAAATCCAAATGTGATAAATGTATGGGCTCTCCTCTTACCCTCACTATTACTCTGCCCAAAGCAAAGAGTATTGTATTTTCAAGTCCTTGACCTCAGACAAAGCCTGAGATTCCTTTCACTTCCCCTCGCTGCACATCCCCATGTCCATTTCTAGCACCACATTCCAGTGTCACGCTGCAGACAGGCCTCATAAATTAGCAATGATAATCTCATGTGACTGCACCAGAGGAAAGTGTTCCTGTCAAAGCTATTGGGAAGGAACCAGGTTAATCTTCTGTCAATTATCTGTAATTAGGATGCGCCATAAACTTCATGTTCACAACAGTCCAGGCAGAGCAATGAGACGCTCAGTGATTCTACCCATCAGCTGCAAAGGAATCAGATTCAGAGGAACACAAGAGGTTTTATAATCTCATAAATTATACTTTTTTCTTTCCTCTGCATCCCCCTTTGGAACACCCACCTTCATCTGAACACATGTGGTCACCAGTGAACAAGATTCATTTGCTTTGAATTTGGCCTTGTGAAGTGAAAGGAAATGTGTCTGAAGTTATCCCCAGGGAGAGGTGCTGAAGTGGCACAGGAGGAGGCCTAACAGGGAGGTTAGAAAAGTCTTCAGCACAGCAATTCTATTCTGACTTACCCTAGTGCCCACAGATGCAAACTGCACACTGTAAGGTTCCTCAACCCTGATGAGGGGATGGATCTCCAAATTCCATCAGCCTGTCAAGCAAGCCTTAATGAGCTGTTTTTAACATGTGCAGACAGTTACAAGGCTTGCTCTCATCTCTATTGTCAGGACCCTGTTATTTTTGTCTCTTCTCACCTGTTCTTAATTAGTTTCCTACATATCTAATTAAGTAGTACTCAGAGAGGTGGTAGAAAAAAATGATAACCATGATCCAGAAAATGAGAGATGTAATGGCAATTATGAAGATAATGTATCAGAGAAGGGAGACTTAGAAAATATTAATGGCATGAACTTGCAGAAATTTAAGTTTTTAGAAATTCAAGCCTATTACTAGAAAGCTTAAATCCACAGCTGGCTCCATAAAATTTAGAAACCCACCAATGCAGAACTGCTGCTTTCAGGCTGTGAGAGTTGTCAGTGTTATGTAAGGATTTCCAATCACAGCTGAACAGTAACACTGAAATTCATAGCAAGCCAAGCAATGGGATACCTCATCAAGAGCTGAACATCTAATGAAAAGAAAGATGTTGATAATTTAAATTTCCAACAACATAGATAGGAAAAGATTTTCAAGGGATTGGTGAATAAGAATAATATTAGCAAAATTAAATATGTTGAACATGGTTAAGAGGCACATAGTAGAAGAAATGGCAACATTCTACAGCTATTTCAGGATTGTTAATTCATCCCATTTCCTGGGATTTATCCCCTTAAGGGAGACAAATAAGACTACAGGGATATAAACAAGGGAATAATAATAAGAAAAGAGATTGAGAGAAATATAAATTCACTATGAGGGAGAGGAGAAAAAACATCAGTAGCTGCCATCAGGCAGTGAAATATTTTCCCCAAGGAAACAGTGAAAGAGGTATGTCCCTCTTACTGGAAATATCTTAAACTAAACTAGGCCAGCATGTAGGAATGGTTTTGCAGAAAATGAAAACTAAAATCTAGTAAATTTTTATCTTATGCCACATTGAAGCATTTGAGCAATAATGTGCCCTGTGTGCATCAGGACAAAGCATCTGATACATTCTGCTTTACATAGATCAATTAGGGATTTATCCAAAATACCCACAGGAGAAGTACCTTTACAGATTATTAGCTACAGACAGAAGATATTTCAAATCTACCCCAAAATGGTGCAACATGATCTGGCAGTCAGAGCTGAGACCGGGTAATTTCTGACCATGGACACTTAGGGGAGGGGGAAAACGTATATTCAATCAAAGGAAGAGCTCACAAAAGGTCCTCTTTCTTTTAAATGCTATAATAAGGACAAGATGTATGGTTAAACATCTACTATGACTCCACTTTGAGGAATAATTGTAAGATTTTATCTTCATACCAAATTCCTGGAAAAATTTTGCTTACAGTGTTCTATGAGGAAAATTGATAATAATAACAAGTTCTACCTCAATGATTGCCTCTCAGTCTAAAACAATCAATCCCTTCCACATAATGCACTGAAGGATGGGAAGGGTAGTTTTTCTTACTGCAAAATCTGGTGTTTCCCCTGCCTCTTGACTGCTGCTTCCCACGTTATGCTCAAGGCCCTCAGTCTCCACAGTAGGAGTTATGACTGATTTTTCCATAGCTCTCTCTCATAACCATTCTCCTCTATGTCCCAACAGAAAGTGCTAGTTTCCCATCAGTTGTAATTTCTCATGAGCTTTGAGAGCTTTCATTGACCCAGTGTGGTGATCTCTGTAAGTCCTGCCACTATTCCACCCTGCAGTGTGCATGCTGACTTCCAGACCTCGGAGACAGGATCCCGGGCAGCTCCAAATTATTGAAGAGAGTAGCATGACCCAAAACAGTGATAGCTTTTTCTGAATATGCAAAAGGAGTAACAAAAATCAAGCCAGCAGTCTTGGTTCAGACTCTTACCTGTGCTACCTCTTCAAAATCATCATGTCTTTTCTGCAGTGCACGTGCTCTGTGTAGAGACTTCCCCACTCCTGTGTGTTTGCTCAGAAAGGCTTCCCCGTGATTTTCAATCCAGTCCAGTACCTGCCAGAAAAGAAGAACATTCCAGTTATCTCTCCTGTCCCAGCAGCACAGAGAAACCCTGTGAGGGTGAGGATGGAACAGCTGCAAAGGAATGCCTTGTGCTTGCTATGGCTGAACACGGTAAAAATCTCTGTAAAAATCCATTGTAACTGGAGAGAAGATAAATGCTCATGGATGCTACTGCTAAATTAAGTTTATTGAATTTTTGCTATTCAATTTATTTTGAAGTGTAGCTTAGTTATTGGAGCCTGGCAGATATTAAATATTTACTTTCACATAGATTCCTTTTGGGGAAAGGGAATCAGAAATCTAGAATCTTTTACAGGAAGTACCCTCCTCTGATGAGCTTGTGTAAACTGTAAAACAGCAACAGCTGATTTTGCATCTCGGTGTGAGAGGTAGTCCAAAAGCATGGTGGATCAACTAAAATCTATTTTTTAAATAAATGCATTATCAGAGTTACTGAAATGAAGAGGTTAAGGTCACTGCAGACCAAAAAATACTGACAATGTGAACCTTCCAATTCTTCCAGGTTCTTCTGTTGAGTTCCAAATGTAACTGATCCTTATGGAAAAGGAGGATGATAAATCTGATACTCTGAGAGTTACAGAGGATTCTCTTTTAAGAGTATGTTTGTTATCTGTATGTGCAGCACTCATGTGGAGTTTCTTCTCACAATAACACTGACACTAAAATGTAGATCAAATCTCTTTGGGGTCTAGTACAAGTGGAAGAAAATTCCAAACTTGACAATATAAGATTGGGAAATTTCAGAATGAGATTGATACTCCATCTCTTTCCAATACACAGAATCTAAAGGAATATATAGAGCTCAAGCAGCACTGGTATTTCTGTAACAGGTGGGAGCTCCTTCAGCAAGGAGCTCTGCACTCCCAGCAAAACCTGGATCCTCACAGCAGCTGATGCCAATGGACTGGGATACAACAGCTGGAATTTCTGTCACTCCAAAGGGACAAGACACTGCAGGCAGCCCCAGGACAGTGACAGTACCACAGGTATTAAGCCCAGAAACCTACCACTGGAAAATGGAAGATGGGATAATTTATTTATTTATTTGCTTATTATTTCAGGCATTTCATGGCTTGTTTGTACACAATCTAAACCACCTGAGCTCTGAGTGCTTTTTGTAATGTAGATCCCAGGCATATTTTTATAGGAAGTCCTAATTACAAACAAAGCTTTTTACACATGTGCTTATGTTCCAACCTTATTTCTTTACAAAGAAAAGCATTTTTTAAATTAAAATGTTGTGTTTATAACACATTTTTCATCCACAGAATACAAGTAATTTCACAAAATGGGGTAGTAAAGCACTTTATGTTCTGCAGGGACAACACGTATTTGACACAGGTGACAGTGTGGGGGTGAGGAAGCAGGACCAGATGTGTTGGCAGTTCAGCCATCAGTTCCTGCTTCCCTTTCTTTGACCAGCTTGTCTCCCACTTGCTCTGGGTAGAAAATCCAAAATACATTTCTTCAAATTGCTTGACAGCCATGTGCCAAGTGGTCTGCTAAGAGCTTTTCTGCAACATACTTTTGACTAGGAATGACTATATGACTTGTAATGGCAATTACTGGGGGCCAGTCTCCCAGCATTTGTGTTGTTAACAGTCTGCAAATAATCTCATTAACAATCTTTCTCCTTGTCAGGAGTTTTCAACATATCTATTAAAAATGGAAGCAGAGCCAAATTGAAGTTTGGAACAAATCTCATCTTATATTCTTTTTTAAATGGCAAATGGCTTTACTTTAAACAACGTTTCATATTAAATTAGTATGCAGTATGTGCTTTTTATTTATTAATAATTGATAGCCACTTACTGTAACTCTACAGAAAACTATTCCAATAACTTTTTCATGCTTATAGCATCGAAGTAGTCATTAGAGAATAACTTGCTGAACAGCTTTTTCTGTTCTTGGAGACCCATGTTAACATATCTGACCACTCCAGTCATCAGTGAATTTGTTTTCGCAACCATTCTGTGAAATACATAAATTCTATAATTCAATTTGGCATAGAAGAGGGGAAAATAAAAACATTATGTATATACATTATATATATTATATAAAAAGTTGAAGTGAATTTCTGAATTGTCCCAAGAAACTGGCAAGAGACAAGATGTTAGTATGAGGCTCTGATAACCTGATAGGCCTAATTAACAAAAGAATCCTCAGCATTTACTAAGATACTAATAAAGATAATATGTTTTTCAGTATATAAAGCACCTGGATCTAATAAGCTCGCAATAATCAGCCAACATAGAGAAATACCACATTTTTGTTTCCATCATAAAAGACACAGGAAGTTGGCACTTTAAAAAGCTGAGGGATGGAATAACTGAGTGAATAAAGCAACAGCAAGAACATCAATCTGTGTGGACACAATGCACTTAATCTGCCGTGCAAACAATGAGAAATATTAAGCAGTGGGTCTGTGGCAAATGAAGGAAGAACTCTGAAAGGTCCCAGTCAAACCTGAAGTCACCAGCACCTGGAAACGTCTATGTATCAGCATGTTTGGAGAAATTGTCCCTTATCCTGAAGAAAGGAAATGTCTTTAGAATAACTGTGTAATAATTCAAGATAAACATTTAACATTTTAATTGAGAGCATGGACCATGTAACTTACTCCACTGCCAGAATTTAACATCCTGAGATATAGGTAGACATTGAAGTTACAGTGACTTAGTTGAAATAATTTAATTATCCCTTAAAAGCTTAAGCAGCTTGAAGATGCCATTAAAAGTGCAGTTAAGAGTGTTTTCCAAATTAAATCTTCAGATTTCCTAACTGGGCTTTATTGCCAAGCTGTATTTTATACTAGCTAGGAAAGGACTGTAACTCATGAGTTCTTTGGAATGAAAAGAACTGTTCTGTTCAAAGCTGTTTCTGTTCACTGGGGTAGCTATAATATGTTAATATATCTTTTTTAAAAATTATTTTTATTTCACTAGTTTAAGATCAACATCGACAGAAACATTATTTTCTATTATGATTTGCATGTCCTGTCTCCTTATCTCCTCAAGGGCACAATTACACACTCAACAAAACAAGCAGCAAACCCAGGTCACTGAGAAAATGAAATAAAACTCAGTACAGCTACAGCAGGCTGACTGTGCCAGCTATTACGGTCATTACATGGCTGGATAACCACAAGATTCAAAATGCTACCTGGAGGAAGAATGGCCCTATGTCCCTGCAGAATGATCTGTGTAACTGTTCAAATAATAACAGTGGCAGTTCAGACAGGTTTCTGAGCAGAGGATTGGGAAGGAGGTATTTGAAAAGAGCCACTTGCAGAGCCCTTTCCACTCTCCTCTTTGCTGAGGATCAAACTCCTGGACATGGGAAGTCTTTGACCTACAGCACAACCAAACCAGTAAAACAAATCCTGCCAGAGAGGGAAAAACATACTTGAGAGTCCACTGGCAGGGAATGCTGATATGTATGGAATACTGTAGGAAAACATGGGAAGGAGACAGAAAAATGGTTTGAGAAGGAAAAGGTTGAAGAAGCAATCAGGCAATAATTTAGCAAAGTTCTGGGATGAAAATTGCCCTTTCTCTATGCTAATTTGTATTATGGGAATATGGCAAGATGATTGCATTACTGCAGTTAAGGTCAAGTATTTTAAAAACTTTAAAAATGTTAATTTAATTTTTAAATAATAATATTTAAAAAAAAGTGGGGTGGGGGGAGGCGGGGGGAGGGCTCTATTTTGAAAAGGAAAACAGACATTTCAAGGCAGCACTTTGAAAATTAAGTCTCTCTCTTTAGGTATCTTTCCTAATCAGGAAATGTGAAAATGAAGAAACATCTCATAACTTTATCCAATTTAAATCAAAATCTCCTTGGGAACCAATTCTTTCTCAGCAAATCCTCATGATCTACACCCATTTTACATGAACTCAAAATGTCAAAGGAGTAGTAAACCCATTACTTTAAGGAATTATATCTGCTCTTGAACTTAGTTGAAAAACTTCTTTATTTTCACATATTTTAAACTGTATTTCTTTTAGCAGAATTAATGAAGATGAAATGAGGATGACCTGGGAAAGAATGACAGTATCATTTAAGTCAGAAAGGAACCTGAAGATCATTGACTCCAACCCAGCATTGCCAAGCCCGCCAGTAAACCAGGTCCCTAAGATTCTGCACGTCTTTTCAATACCTCCAGGGATGGTGACTCCCCACTTTCCCAGGCAGCCTGAACACTGAGGGCTGCTCAAACATAGCAGTCACTGACCCCTGCCCTCGTGCAACAGGAAGGGATAAGAAGTGTGAGCTGGTGATTAAGGCGCAGCGTGTGGTACCAGTGGTGACAGAGCGCCCCAAATTCTGCATTTGACCCAGGCCATGTTGAACAGTTCCATTGCTCCTGACTGAGGTGACCCACTGAAGTGCCTTGGCCAAGGGAATCGTTAATCTTTGTTACCCTGAGACCCACTGTTGTTGCCATAGCTACTCTAAAACTAGGTTATTCTGAAAACTCAAAATAAATTATAGCATTTTACACTTCAAGCAGTTAAGAGTCAGATTTTGATCTCAAAACAGTACAAATCTGGTACAACTCAAGGGGGTTAGTTTAACTCTTTGGTAACAGATTTGTAATAAATTCCAGAGCAATTCCACCTAATTTATTCAGCTTTAAATGAGGCACCATTTCAAATAGGTGCATAAGCATTGCCTGACTTTAAACACATGAATAAGGCCTCTAAAATTGCGTAGTGAAAGGAAGCCAGGCAGTATCAAGCTGCCATTAAAAGCATTTTCTTGCTTGCTCTTGAGAAACGATGGGCTAAATTCTGGTGAGATACCAGGAATTCATATGGCACTTTAAAATTCACAAGAATCAAACCTTATCTCTCCCTTTTCTGTAGCTGTATTATAAATACTCAGTAACTCCAAGGCTCTGCATATCTGACACTCCTATTCCAGAAGCTCTGCCTTTGCCAAGCCTGCTTTTTGTAACCAAGAAA